TATATCTAATAGTATAGCCGCATTGTTATTATCGATGGGAAATGATTTTCATAAAGAGAAAATTCATATGTTGCATTACTGATTAGTTGAATACTTATACTGTTACTATGTCCGGTAGCACAAGGCCACCACCTAAACTACTATTTTAAAAAAACCCTACATCTTTTTGTATATAAATGAATCTTTGAAGTAAAGTGTTTCTTTCATATTTCGTGTTCTTTTCTTTCATGTTCAAATTTCTGTGTAAATTTAGCTTGGGTTTTATTGGAGAAGAACTTAGCAACAGAATCTAAAGTTCAATGCAAAGACTTATCAATATGAGAATTCTGATTTTAATGGTTCTTTGAAAATTGATTACCTCAAGTGGTGTTCGTCAGGGCTGTCCACTCTCCCCATTCTTGTTCAACTTTGTGGTCAACGTACTTTTAGAGATAACATTCTCCTCATCTAAATTTCCAGGGGTTGAACTTCTACCGGAGGTTCACTTGTTGACTTAGAATATGCAGATGACATAGTTTTATTTGGTGAAGACGCTGACAAAATGCAGAGTCTTCTGACCACTCTAAGCAACAATGCAAGCATGTTCGGGATGCGATTCTCTCCCTCGAAATGCAAAATGTTGCTTCAGGATTGGGTTACATCGACACCCGAACTAGTGATAGGGAGTGAAGTAGTTGAGTGTGTCGACCGCTTCACTTATCTTGGAGTCTCATCAGCCCTTGTGGTTTAGTGTGTGACGAAATCTCAGCACGGATACAGAAGGCTCGACTAGCTTTTGCCAACTTGCGTCATTTATGGCGTAGGCGGAATATCCGTCTATCAACCAAAGGACGTGTTTACTGCGCAGCAGTTCGTTCCGTCCTACTTTATGGCAGTGAAACATGGCCGGTAAGAGTAGAGGATATCCGTAGGCTACTAGTATTTGATCATAGGTGTCTTCGAAACATTGCTCGTATATCATGGGACCATCGAGTAAGTAACACAGTTGTTAGGATGGCAAATCAATTGATGACGTAGTGAAACTTCATCAGTTGAGATGGCTGGGACACGTGTTACGTATGCCCAACCACCGACTGCCTCGACGTGCTATGTTCAGTGGTATAGGAGTAGGTTGGAAGAAAGCTAGGGGCGGCCAAACCAAAACATGGCACAAGTCCATGAAGTCACTGACAAGTGGACTGAGTCATGTTGGTAGGTGTAGACTACCTGGTTGGTGACCACGAGATGATAGCAACCGATGGTTAGAGACCCTGAATGACATGGCTCAAAATCGTTTGCAATGGCGCAGGTGCATCCACTCTCTGTGTTCTCCCAAATTCTAATCTTCTGAATTCTTCATGTCCCTTTTTTCCTCTTTCCAAATTTATTTCACTGGATTATACTCTTTAAATAACATCTCCAAACCCTAATCTTCCCGATTACTGCTTATACTCTTATTACCTCTACCACTATGGGATTTGAATCGACAACTGCATCTCTGTGCTAATGTGGCGTGGCAACTCGAACTGATGTACGTACGTACGAAGTTCTACGTTGTTACTGACTGACTAACTTGACAAGTGAAATATTCTGCATTTACTATAAGATTGATGAAAAGTTTATATCAAGAGTATATTTGTTTGATTTTCATTCATAAATTCCTAGAAATTGATCACTTCTGAAGTTGAATAGCATGTGAACTTAAACGGTTATAATCAATGATGTTGAATAATAATAATAATAATAATAATAATAATAATAATCGCGTAATATAACATGTTTATTAAAGTTGTAGCATTTATAACAAAACTTTAATCACTAGGGTTATTTTATCTCTAGGGAGTTTAAAACTAGGTGAAATTATTTGTTCTGTGCTTAATGCTTTTCATGATTCCTTATCCATTATCCAGGTCATATAAATTAATTAATTACTTACTTACGACTGTTACTCCTAATGGATCATAGGCCACCGACCAGCATTCTCCAACCCACTCTGTCCTCGGCCTTCTTTTCTAGTTCCATCTAATTCTTGTTCATTATTCTCATGTGTATCTCCATTTTCTGGCGTAATATGTCCTTTGGTCTTCCTCATTTCGTTTGGCCTTGACAATTCAATGTGAGGGTTGTCGGTCATATAAATACTGTTCTTTTAATTATCAAACAAATAAATTTTATAAATTTAACTCTTTATGAAATGAATAAGATGAAAGACATAATATTGCAGTGAACAAGAACACAAGTGGGGACAATCAAATGTATTTGAATACAGCATTACAGAACAACGTAGTAACGAAAAAAAGTTGGGCATGGGTTCGACAATTTTAAGTAAGCTCCTAAATACCCTGGTACGGCCGAGAGTGGAAAGAGTCCGCTCTCCCTCTCGAAATGTTCTTACATGGTCACGCGTATATAACCTCTGCCAAAGAAGTCCTACTCACTGCTTTCTCGCACCATGGGTGTTGTTTACGAAATTGATAAGACAAAAAGCGAATATCCGGCGCTTCAACCGGGTTGGTGGACATGGAGAGTCAACCTGAGAGGGTTGAAAAACCCTGATTCAAGACCAATGGTGAACATGGGCTGGCTCAAGGATTCTGAAAGAACAAATGACGTATAGACCAATCGTCGGTCATCGGCTACCATGGGACTGCATCTCCTTACGTTGCTCCACTGTCTTGTGGATCAGACCTTCAGGTCGAACGCTCTGGGTGTGGCCCCTAAGTAAACCACCCGCTTCGGTTTGGGCACCTGGGCATATCAAATGACATCTGTGTGGCGCATATGTAATTGACGCCTCCTTGTACCAATATCTATGTGTTAAAATAAAATAAATGAATAAAACAGTAAAATCTAAGATCCATACAGTAAATACTTCATTTCCAAAATGTTAATCCATCGTCTCAGACTTCAGTGTTCTTTCGTTTCCACACCAATCATTCTTTGTTCTCGTTCCTATTTCTTCAAACTTCTTAAAATTATGTCACCATGCATTTCACCTTTGACTGATGATAGATACTACTTATTTATTTATCGATATCAGTTGTACACATCACAATACTAGACTTTGTAAGAATTCACAGGTATTTGTTTAGTGTAAAAAAAACTCTAATCTTGCAAATTTATGAAAGTGACATTGTAATCACTAATAATCCTGATAAGACAAAACTAAATGAATAACACTAGAATTCAGTTCATCAATTGAATATTGTAAGATTAAGTGAACTAATTAAATTACTTACTTACCTACTTACGCCTGTTACTCTTAATGGGGCATTGACCGCCGATCAGCATTCTCCAACCCACTCTGATTAATTAAATTATTCGATTATAATTAATGATAACCATGGTAATGAGAGATTTTTTCATTTTTTTCTTACTTAACATATTGATTGATCCTAAAATGTTTATTCAAAGTTCTTCCACATTACACTACAAATTCGGTTGTTCTAATTTTAGGAGAAAAAAAATGAACTATTGCTAGTCCCAAGCTCGGGTAACGAAGAAAAATTGAGCATGGGTTCGACAAGTTCAAGTGGAAAAGATTATCTAGGTCAGAGTTGGATGAAGAGTGCTAGTGGGAAGCCTATGCTCCTCCATGACGGGTAACAAGCGTACGTCAGTAAGTATATAAATGAAAAAATGTGAAGAACTAAAGAATAAGTAGAGAATACAAAGAATGAATGAATACATTTTTGTAAGTTATTAAATTAAATGTTGGAGGATGATAGAATTTAAAAGTGTACTTTGTAAAAGATATTTGTAATTTAGCCCCATACGAGAAAGTATTATACATTATAATTGAAGAATTATTGTTCAGTATAGAATATAGATTAGGCGTTTGCATGGGATCAAAGGTTCTGTGTTTGATTATTTGCGTGAGGGATCGTGGATCTTTGCGGTTAGGTAGTTCCATACTAAGACAAAAAGCTCATTTACAATTGATTGATCACTGAGTAGTGATCTGTGTCATGTATGTCAGTTCCTTCTTAATGAAAAATGAATCCTGTCGACCAAGTTGCAGTGTGGCTAGTAGCCACTCGACATTGCGTGCCTTGTATTAAGATAAGATGATGGTTGAAGTTAGTCAACAGCAAAACCTAGAACTAGGTTTCGTGCTACTTGTCACCCTTCAGTAATGTGTACCCTGACGGATTCGATCCCGTGTCATCCAAATTTACAGTCAGAGACGTTACCACTGAGTTATTTGAGCCTTGACTGACGAGTGCCAAGTAGCATGAAATCTAAGTTCAAGGTTTCCTGTTGAATACCTCCAACAATCATCTTACAAAAAGTTCATCTCATGATTCCAGAATTTTAATTGGAATAATAATAATAATTGGTTCATGATTTCAATGAAAATCTATTTGCTTATTAGATGAGCAAATCAAAAGATGAAGTTGTATACTCTGACTTGGATGGTTTAATCTTGGAGCTTTCATCCTTCCTCTGAATGAGATCATCAGCACAAACTTCTCCACTATCTTATAAGCAAAATATAATCCACACACACACACACACACAAGGTAAACTTTACTTAATTCTATTCTTGATAAATCTCATCATCAAGGTTTAACTTCCAAATGAATTGGTCATTGAGGAGATTGTTATTCACAAAAATAAAATAAAATCTTTTTTGTAATATCACAATGAGTAGAAAACATTAAGTTGTTTGTTTGTTTGTTTGTTTCGTGACTTACTTTAGGCTAATTCTTCAGAGAATAACTCAATTCTCAATAGTACAATGAAAGAATATTCAAACTTGACTTAGTTTAATTTAGTTATTTATTCACTGAAGAATTGACTTAATCTAAGTCACGAAACGTCAGAAAATTAAAAAAAAAAGACATAATTTCTCTACTCGTTGAGGTATTGCGAATATATTATTATTATTATTATTATTATTATTCATAGATACTTGATAGTTGCCATGGTGAGTTCTAAAGTGAAAAAAGCTTGTTGATTTTCAATGGTCAATTATTTAAAATTAATTCATAATGTATATTATTCGAATAAATCAATAATCAATGAAATACATAGTGATTATTTTTATTTTTTTGTTTTATTAAAAATTGATTGATTTCAATGTTTGTTTTAGAATAAATTAAAACGAACGTTATTTCTGATGATGATGATGATGATGATGATGATGATGATGATGATGATGATGCTGATGATGATGATGATGATGATGATGATGATGATGATGATGCTTTGGATGATGATGATGATGATGATGATGCTTTGGATGATGATGATGATGATGATGATGATGATGATGCTTTGGATGATGATGATGATGATGATGATGCTTTGGATGATGATGATGATGATGATGATGCTGATGATGATGATGATGATGATGATGATGATGCTTTGGATGATGATGATGATGATGATGATGATGCTTTGGATGATGATGATGATGATAATGATGATGATGATGATGCTTTGGATGATGATGATGATAATGATGATGATGCTTTGGATGATGATGATGATAATAATGATGATGATGATGATGCTTTGGATGATGATGATGATGATTTGGATGATGATGATGATGATGCTTTGGATGATGATGATGATGATGCTGATGATGATGATGATGCTTTGGATGATGATGATGATGATAATGATGATGATGATGATGCTTTGGATGATGATGATGATGATGATGATGATGATGCTTTGGATGATGATGATGATGATGATGATGATTTCCCACTCTTCATCTGTTTGATAATCATGCTGATATCTTCACTTTGATCTTCCTCTTCTCATTTGGACATGAGAATTCTATGTTAAGGCTTGCCTTGTGACATAGTTCAGTGCTTTCCTCAATAAGTGTCTTATCCACTTCCAGCATTTATTCCTAATTTCTTCCTCCACTGCAATCTGGTTTGTTCTCTCCCACAGTAGGTTGCTGCTGATAGTGTCTGACTAACGGATCCGAAGTATTTTGTGTAGACAACTATTAATAAACACCTATATCTTTTGGATAATGGATTTCGTAGTTCTCCAGGTTTCTGGCTCATACAGTAGAACTGTCTTGACATTTGTACTGAAAATTCTGACATTGGTGTTGTTCGACAGACAGTTATTTTGAGTCTCAGATGTTCATCAGTTGTAAATAAGCTGCTGTTAATTTGCCAATCCGCGTCTTCACATCTGCATCATATTCAACCTTACTAGTACAAGTACAAAATCAAAATTCAACCTAGTTCTTGGATATTCTACTGATTACTTCTAGATACTTAATAAGACAAATATATTGGCTATCTTAAATGTTATCTGAAGTTTTGAAATGTTTTCTTTGATATTCTCAACTTTTCTATCTTCTATTTCAACAAAAAAAAGGTTTATAAAGAATAAATGTATTTTTGATTACAGGAAATGAATAATTTTCTTTTCTCTTTTTAACTATAAACAATAATCAGTATTTTCTATCTACATAGATGCTCAATATAATCGTCTTAAAGACTATGGAAACTAACAAAGATATTCTATTGTGTTTGTATCTGAGTGGGTGAGAGGCGGTGGAGGCGGTGAAGAATGGTGGAGGGACCGATAAACATTGATGTAAATATGTAGACAAAGGTAATGATAATTTGTACTTGAGATATTACAAATGATATCTTCATTAGAAAAAAATGATGAATCTATTTCTATATTTAAATCGTACTTGTTTTAAATGAATCATTGTCTATACATGAATGTACATTTGAATAGTCGTTTTTATCTAGAAACCATTTAGTTGTAAGTACTTACTTACTTACCCCTAGTACTCCCAATGGAGCATAAGCCACCGAATAGCATTCTTCAACCCACTCTGTCCTAGGCCTTCCTTTCTAGTTCTATCCAATTATTTAGTTTAATTCATGTTTTATAGAAACGGTAAATTGATTCTTTTAAGACAAAATTGATTTTTATGATCGCAATAAACAATAGATAAGGTGATATTCATATCCATTTGACAATTGAAGTTCTTATCTTTCATATTTAATAAACTATACCTTATACACCACCTCATGTAGCATGGGCTAATGATCAGGATTCTCTAACTAACCCTATCTTCAGATTTCGTTTCCAACGCTTGACAAGTGTTATTCATTCTTTCAATGATTGAATCTAACTCTCAGCAACATGTTATCGTTGTTCCGCTTACTTTCGTTACTCAGTGAAAAGTTTGATTTAGGGCTTGCCTCATGATGCAGTATGATGGTTTCCTCAACGTGTGTCTGTTCCACCTGTAGCGTCTTTCCCTCATTTTCTCTTCAACTCGAAGTTGTGATATTTTCTGCTGGAGGAAGTTGTTTCTGAAGTTATACGGTCAATGGATATTGAGTCTCTTGTGTAGACAATTATTTACAAATACCTGTACCTTCACATTATGACTGTGGTGGTTCTCTAATTTTCAGCTTTATACAGTAGGATCATCTTGAGTTTCGTGTGGAAAATTGTGACTTTGATATTGGTTAACAGTTGTTTACAGTTACATTTGTTTTTCAACAATAGGAATGCTGTCCTTGCTTCGCCAATCTCTTCCTTCAATCTGCGTCAGACCTTCCTTGTTCGTCGGTGATGCCGCACTGTTACGTACATTCCTCCACCTCTTCCAGAGTTTCTCTATTAAGTGTGATGCGGTTTTATACATATTAAAGCTTACTACTGTAGAAGCTACTGCTACACTGGCTGTCTCCACATGGATTGTTGATGTGTATAGGATAAAAGACCTAGGTTATCTACGAAGTCCGAATCTTCTAGCTGCTTCCAACCTGTCCATTTTATTTCATGCTTCCTGTCAGATGCGGATGTCTTCGTAATCCAGTCAACATGCAAAAAAAGAGAAAGGGTCAGAGTAAGCAGAGTTGTCTGACTCCATTCCTCACATGGAATGAATCTATCAGCTACCCTCCGTGCATCACTTTACAGCGCGTATGAATTCGGGTTAATGTTGACGATGTTCTCAGCTACTCACTCACTAGTGTCGAAGACGTTTCAACGAATTCCTCTTATCTAAACCGTCAAACGCTTTCTCACCATCAAGGAAGTTGATGAATAGTGACGAAATCCATTCAAATGATTGCTCAACAATGATCTGTAGTGTCGCGACTTGATCGGTACAAGTTCGATTCTTACGGAGTCCATTTTTCCAACCTTGAAGTTTGAAGTCTTCTGAATCTTTCATTCGGTTCAGCAACACTCAGGTGAAATCGTTTCCTGGTATTAACAAAAGTGTGATACCTCTGTAGTTCTCACATTTGTCTAGATCTCCTTTGATTGATATATTGATGAGGTATGCTAATCACGTATAATATAATAGGTCTTAGATTTTGGCACGTCATTCACTCATTCATTTGGCTAAATAGAGTTTTGGCATTATATCTGATGTCAGTTGGTGATGAAAACTCCGTAATCTAATTCCTAAACTTAACCATCAACTGTTAAACCATAATTTTAATTCCTCACACTGGTCTATAACCCTTATTTGATTCTAGTTACTAGGTGAACACTGTCAATGTCACTTTAGCATCTCTCAATGGTCGTCCATAAATTATAGTCTCAGCTTTCTGTTTACTTAATAACAATTACGTCATCTTATTCAGTAATAAATTTTATTAAGCTCATTTGAGGTAAAACTTGGTTATATATTGAATAATTCAATTCGTGGATGCGCACTACTGAGAAGTCCCACAATAGGATGAAACAGTTGTCCAGTGCTTCCAGGTTTTCCATATTGGTCTAAATTCAATTGACACATGATTTCAACTATTGAAATTACTAAAGTCTCCAAAAAAACCCATCTGATAATGCAATATATGACAATTATATGTACTACTTCTAATGAATTCCCTATTCTTATTTATTCTACACAATTACTTACTTCCTTACGCCTGTTACACCTCGTGAAGGAGAATAGACCGACCACCAACATTCTCCATCCATCCCTGTTCTGCATAATCCTTTAAAGCTCTTTCCAGTTGCAATTAATTCTTTTCATATATGATTCTATTTCACGACATAATGTGTTATTTAAACTACCACTTTTCCACTTCCGTTCAGCATTCCGAGTTAGCGCTTGTCTCGTGATGCACTTTGATGATTTGTGTAATGTATGTCCTATCCATTTCCATCCTCTTTTCTGAGTTTTCTCTTCAGCTGAAGCTGATTTGTAATTTCCCACAGAACGCTGTTACTGATGATATCCGGTGAATGGATGTTGAGTATCTTGTGTAGACAACTATTTATAAATACTTGTACATTCTTGATGATGGTTGTAGTAGTTCTCCAGGTTTCATCTCCGTATAGTAGAAGTATTTGTGTTGACGTTCGTATTGTAGATTGTGACTTTGATATTGGTTGACAGATAGTTGTTTTGAGTTCATATGTTGTTCAATTGTAGGAATGTGGTCCTTGCTTTGTCAATGCTCACCTTTACGTCTGCATCTGATCCTCCTTATTCAACGATTATGCTTCCCAGTTATGTGAAGGATTCTACATCTTCCAGAGTTTGGCCATCAAGTGTGTTGGGGTTGGTGTTCTCCGTGTTGTATTTGAGGACGTTGGTTTACCCGTTGTGTATGTTGAGGCCTACTGATGCATAGACTGTTGCTACACTGGCTGTCTTTATCTGCATTCTACTCCATTAGTTTTATAATATTTTTCTACGTTTTAGAAACTACTTAATTGATCTTTTATGTAAATCTTATCTTGTAGGCATGTGTTGCCATGCAGAAAAATCTACAAAAAGTCACGAATATTTCTTAAGAAAACTTAATAGGTTTCAACAGCTACATTATTATGATTCGTTTGACATTTTTTTCTTAATACAAATAAAAAAATATGTAAACTATCACATATTTGTGGTTTGATCAGTAAACTATGATAAATGTATTAAGGAAGAAGGCAATATGAAAATAATAATCAAAGGGATTATCAGTTTGGGTGTTGTGGAGATTGTTCAGTTTTTTTATTGAAATCATAAACCGATTGATGTTGGTCCACCATTGAAAACCTGAAAGCACTGAACGGCCATCTCGTTCTATTGTGAGACTCCTCAGCAGTGCGCATCCATGATCGCGCTCGTGGGATTCGAACCAGGGCCTTCAGTCTCACGCGCGAACGCTTAAACTAACGGACCACTGAGCCGGCGTCAAATAGTCTTAGTGTCTAACATCGAGAAATCCACGAAATTGTGCAACAATCTTCCTTTGTACTGAGGTAGACACTTGTTTCTACCCGACACAGAATAGCTCCACTGTATGAATGTGTATCATTCTTACAGTACATTGAGAAGATCCAGATTAGTATGATAGGAGTGTCTTCAAGTGTAACATATAGATATATGTCTGAATATCACGGAAAGCACCATAAGAACTCATATGTATGTTATTGTTAAGAACCAACCAGTACTTACTTACTTACGCCTGCTACTCCTGATGAACGAGAATAGGCCAACCACCGGCATTCTTCATCCAACTCTGTCTTTGACAATCCTTTCTAGCTCTTTCCATTTGTAATTAATTCTTTTTATAACTGATTCTATTTCACGACATAATGTGGTCTTTGGCCTTCCTCTTTTCTGCTTCCTTCAGTATTCCAATTTATCGCTTGCCTTGTGATGCAGTTTAATGACTTGACTGTAACTCTTCTAGATTTACTGCCATTCTGAAATCCGGGTAAAAGAGGAAAGTTGGGCATGAATTTAACGATCGCATCCCGTAGAAACCTA